TTATAAATGATACTTTTTCCCCGTGTTTTAAATTAATCTTTATTATATTCCTAAATATTGCACTTGTGTTTAACTGACACTTTTTATTTTAAATATTGTCTAGATTTTGTTTAAATAACCAAAAATTAACTGACTATCATGATCAGGACCATATATATATAATTATCAAGTTTATAACTAAAACATTATTACAGCAAATACAGCTTCTTTGCGACAGATTATGGTTAAGAATTTCTGAGTCTGTTATTTTGTTCCCCTTTTTTTTCTTTTCTGTTTTTCTCTACCTCAAAAGAGGGTTCTAAACAGTTTTCCTGGTCTTTACATGTACAGTAGAGATGTACTTTATGAGCAAAATATAAAAATATATATAAACATAATGAGAAATATTGTGAAAATAAAATGAAGACTTTAGTAAAGTTAGAATAAATTTAGTATCCTTGGTCCAAGGGTTTCTTATTTAAAAAAATAATCAAATTATATTTACTTGTACTGAAAGATCAGTCTTTGAAATATAAATATAGCCTTATAGCTATCTTTTTTGTACAAAATTTAGTCATCTTGGCCAAAGGATCCTTAATCCATACAACAGAGATTGTTAATTGAAATCTCTACGTATATCCTGTACTCATACTGACAGAGAAGGAATTTAAAGGAATCTGATTTACTTAAGTTTGGCTGTATTATCATCTTCTCCATTGATAAGTAAAATGTACATTTTGAAATTTTAAGTATAAAATAATCTTATAATATTTTTTAAGTGTTTTCCATTTTCTTATTCACTCAACAATCAGTGATAAATAGCTCGTAGATTTTTTTGAGCAAAACGATACAAAAAGGATGCCACTATTATCTTAAGAAGTGGTTTGCCTCTGTTTTCACATAAGTGTGTATATATGAGCATGCACCAACGCATAAACAGTATTGTATATAGGCTACAAACTTCACAGTTTATAAATTTGTATCAAATGTATCTTGAATCGATAACTAAACAAAAAGACTAGGGTCTTAGAAGTTCACCTGCTTTGATGTTTTTGCTTTCATATGAAACAAAAAGATGAATTTCAGGAACACATTGATTAAACTTGAATATTAATTTTGCATCACTGTACGCCTTTCCCCATTCAAAATAGAACTGGTCAACCTATTGTTTTCATAAATGAATATATGTTCAATTAATCTCAAAAAGTAACAAATTTGTAGCTTCTCAATCTGATAATTAAGAATCACTAATGAAATAAGGTATTTTAACACACTTATTTTCTGAAGATAATTTACAAATGCTTCGCAAGAATCACTCGATCTTCTTCCTTCAAAAACTATCAATAATACAAAAAACCAAGGGATCATTTAGGTCAAATTCAATTATAATCAAGAAAAACCTATATTTTCCTTTTGGGCCCCACCCCTATGCCCCAGAATAGCCATATCATCCTTGATGATGTCTCTTTCAACAAAAAATACTCAAATAGGTTCAAATTATTTTATCTGTGCATATATATACTTTCCAACCCATCTATTCTTAGGGAATTGACATCTTCCGTCTATACAATGTAAATTGAATTGTTTCAATCCCCAAAGAAAGCTCCAAATCAATTGATGTTAAAATCCCTTTACCCCTACTCAAAGCATAAGACGGTTTTCCTACATTTTCCATACTGGACTGTGTCCCTCTGCTCCCAAAGGGGCTTCATTCAACCTTCATCTATTCAATGTTGGATACTTGAATTCTTTTATGCTTTCATTTTCCTTACAGATGCTATTACCTAGTACCATTATGGAAATCCTAAATGTACAATGTTCATGTACATTAACTTAGGTTCTTAAATCTTGTAATGCCATATGTAATTTGCCACTATATGGCAAAATAATTGTATAAGAATTGCATGACAATATGCAAAATGCTAAACAAGAAGCCAAGGGGCCATGATAGCTCACCTGGAAATTTATTTTGATGTTTCCATGCATCCTGTTGGATATGATATGTTCTTACATGTATTTAACAAAAGAGTATAAGAAACACTTTTAGCTGTTAAAATAGACAATGAAGTTTTTGGGTCATTTTTGGAAGATATCATTTCTCTACGCCTTTGATGTATCATTGTGAATCTTAATTGTTGGAAGAATTGAACATATTTTACTGATCCATCCCTAATCCCACACATTTGACCCCTGTTACTTTGAATATGGGGTAAGGTCATTTATTGAAATTTATAGCCCTGATTTAAGCATATTACTGACCTAATATTAAATTTGAAGACATTTGACCCTTTTAAACTTGAATATGGTTAAATATCATCCGTATAACCGAATAACCATTATCATAGCAGGTTACTGGCCAAAATACATCACCCTGGGCCTTTTAGTTNAATTTTAGTTTTTCAGTAGAAATCATTTAAAGGTTATTTTACCCCTGTGAACTTGGATGTGGGCACTGAATTAGTTGATCATTCCAGATGGTGGGCTATTCAAATCACTCTATGTGTCCGTTGTTCGTGCACTAATAGTGTGATACAGGACTGACAAATATAGTATAGTGATGAGTTATAGTGTGATACAGGACTGACAGGTATAGTAATGTGATAACTAATAGTGTGATACAGGACTGACATATATTGTATAGTGATAACTAATAGTGTGATACAGGACTGACAGATATAGTATAGTGATGAGTTATAGTGTGATACAGGACTGACAGATATAGTATAGTGATGAGTTATAGTGTGATACAGGACTGACAGATATAGTATAGTGATGAGTTATAGTGTGATACAGGACTGACAGATATAGTATAGTGATGAGTTATAGTGTGATACAGGACTGACAGATATAGTATAGTGATGAGTTATAGTGTGATACAGGACTGACAGATATAGTATAGTGATGAGTTATAGTGTGATACAGGACTGACAGATATAGTATAGTGATGAGTTATAGTGTGATACAGGACTGACAGATATAGTATAGTGATGAGTTATAGTGTGATACAGGACTGACAGATATAGTATAGTGATGAGTTATAGTGTGATACAGGACTGACAGATATAGTATAGTGATGAGTTATAGTGTGATACAGGACTGACAGATATAGTATAGTGATGAGTTATAGTGTGATACAGGACTGACAGATATAGTATAGTGATGAGTTATAGTGTGATACAGGACTGACAGATATAGTATAGTGATGAGTTATAGTGTGATACAGGACTGACAGATATAGTATAGTGATGAGTTATAGTGTGATACAGGACTGACAGATATAGTATAGTGATGAGTTATAGTGTGATACAGGACTGACAGATATAGTATAGTGATGAGTTATAGTGTGATACAGGACTGACAGATATAGTATAGTGATGAGTTATAGTGTGATACAGGACTGACAGATATAGTATAGTGATGAGTTATAGTGTGATACAGGACTGACAGATATAGTATAGTGATGAGTTATAGTGTGATACAGGACTGACAGATATAGTATAGTGATGAGTTATAGTGTGATACAGGACTGACAGATATAGTATAGTGATGAGTTATAGTGTGATACAGGACTGACAGATATAGTATAGTGATGAGTTATAGTGTGATACAGGACTGACAGATATAGTATAGTGATGAGTTATAGTGTGATACAGGACTGACAGATATAGTATAGTGATGAGTTATAGTGTGATACAGGACTGACAGATATAGTATAGTGATGAGTTATAGTGTGATACAGGACTGACAGATATAGTATAGTGATGAGTTATAGTGTGATACAGGACTGACAGATATAGTATAGTGATGAGTTATAGTGTGATACAGGACTGACAGATATAGTATAGTGATGAGTTATAGTGTGATACAGGACTGACAGATATAGTATAGTGATGAGTTATAGTGTGATACAGGACTGACAGATATAGTATAGCGATGAGTTATAGTGTGATACAGGACTGACAGATATAGTATAGCGATGAGTTATAGTGTGATACAGGACTGACAGGTATAGTAATGTGATAACTAATAGTGTGATACAGGACTGACAGATATAGTAATGTGATGAGTTATGGTGTTATACAGGACTGACAGATATAGTATAGCGATGAGTTATAGTGTGATACAGGACTGACAGATATAGTATAGCGATAACTAATAGTGTTATACAGGACTGACAGATATAGTATAGTGATGAGTTATAGTGTGATACAGGACTGACATATATTGTATAGTGATAACTAATAGTGTGATACAGGACTGACATATATTGTATAGTGATAACTAATAGTGGTATACAGGACTGACAGGTATAGTATAGTGATGAGTTATAGTGTTACTCTGCATTTCATTATAAGCTCACTTGGCCCTTTCGGTTCTTCTTTTAATGATCAGCAATGGTATATATGGTTATGGGGTGGGATCTCAACTGTTTTAAAGTAATGACTCAGAAAACAAGTCTCTAGAGGTGAAGCCAGACCAAAAGATAAATTATTTCATCATGATCATATTCATCTCTTGATGCCCTGCAATTGTATACAGGGTTATAGGTTTGGGATCTTGAAAATGTCATAGTTAAATTTATGTCCCACCCCTCAGACCCAGAGGTCAGCCCTTCAACTGGTATGATTCCTCAACTACCATAGAATTTTCCTAGCAAAATATGGTTGTTATTCATAACTTTGTTCCAGAGAAGAAGTCGCTTTAAGCATTATGAAATTTACCTCAACTTTCCCTATTGGGCCCGCCCCCCTGCCCCAGGGGGGCCTTACCCCCTGTTTATGCAATATTGAATGCCTTTTGGCCGACAATACACTTAGCAGTTCAGGACAAGTAGCGTTTTAAAGGAAAAGTTGATGGATGAATCCTTTAAGTAGGTAAGCTAAAAAAAATCTGAATAACCAAATTGTCCAGGGTGATACTATTTGGCTAGTAACATGCAAGAATGCTATTTGGCTACCACTAACCCTCCACCACTGGTTCGTGGGTTCAAGGCCCATGTGGGGCAGTCACCAGGTACTGACCGTAGGTCGGTGGTTTTTCTCCTGCTGTCCTCCAACACCGTCATCTTGCGTCAAATTCTTACTTTAAACAACTGCTTCTCAAGAACAAATAGGCCTATGGTGATGAAATTTGTTCTAGCGGTTTTACCTCTATTTTCCCTATTCAACCCAGTTCATCTGCCCCTAGGTGGGCCACACCCACTATTGATAAAACATTGAGCGCCCTTGTCCCAATGATCCTCCAGACCAAATTAGGATGAAATCCCCGATTCCCTATGGTAGAAGAAGGATTTTAAAGGTTTTACCTATTGGGCCCTGTTCATCTCCCTCCAGGGGGCCACACCAACTGTTGATACAAAATTCAGACCCCTTGGCCTAAGGATGCTCCAGACCAAACAAGGATGAACTACCTTAAAAAGTTTACCTCTATTTCCCCTATTTGGCCCCATCCCTTTGCCCCAAGGGGAGCCACACACACCGTTTATACAAAATTGAGTCCCCTTGGACCAAGGAAGCTCAAGACTTTGGGCAGGTGAGCTAAAAAGCATAGGGTGGTGATATTTTTTCAGTAACATGCTCAGATGATGAGATATAAAGTTTGTTCATGTGGATGATATTGACCCAATGTGTAATAATTAAGGTTTCGCTATTTGACAAGTTGCATGCTGAGATGAAGGTCTCCTAAGTCTATTCGACTTAATGACCTTTCATCCGTGGTGGGCTATTCAAATCACCTTGCGTCCATCGTCCGTCCGTCATTCTGTCCAAAATCAAGATGGCCGACAGACGCCATCTCGAATTGTAGGAGTTAAAGCTTGTTAGCGCTATTTCTCAGAAATTACTGGAGGGGTCTTTCTCAAATTTCACAAGAATGTTCCCCATGGTCCCTTGTTATGTATATCATTTTTTTGGGACTGGTCGAAAAACCAATATGGCCGACAGACGCCATCTTGAATATAAGAGTTTGTTAGTGCTATTTATAGGAAAGTACTGGGAGGATTGCTCTTAAATTTCACATGAAGGGTCCCCATGGTCCTTACTTACAAACTTTAGATGTTAGAATATAGGAATAGTTTAGCAAATTCACTGGTTGAAAATGCTCAATTTTAGGGTAAAAGATTGGGAGTCTCCCTCAAAAATCGAGAGAGTTGTCAAGTATATGTACTGTATTCATTCTACTAAAAAACTTCTATTAAATAATATGTTGTGAGCTGTGACTTCTTTTCATGGAAATGACCCAGACATTCTTGTTAAGAGAAGGGAGCCACTTGTTAAGTTTATTTTACTGCCTATTTGGTAAAGAAATTGTTGCCAAATTTGGTTAAATTCTTATTGATTCATGCTGAAAAGTTGATACAATTCATGCAATATATGACCTCATTTGGGCCCTTCCCTGCAGGGTTTAACTGTTTTGATTGAAAATATTTCATTCAGTCTTTTCATAGAAGAAGGTCAAAACATTAAAAAGGCAGGGCACAATTACGACCGTGATAAAATATCACCCTGATATTTTGTGTTACTTTACAACAAAAAAAGTTTCCAGGACACAAGCTAAGACACCGTTTCAGAACAGAAAAGTTTCAAGGACACCAGCTAAGACACCAATACAGAAAAGAAAAGCTTCCAAGACTAAAACACAAAGGAAGGAAGCCAAAGAAATTGTTAGCATCACAAAAGAAACACCAGCAGAGTGCAACTTTAGACCACCTCCAGCTTCCGTAAGTCACAAATTGTGCAAGAGAATGAACATTCAGTTTTCAAAGCAGCCAACATATGGAAATGACTGACTTAGCAGGAAAGCCATCACAAGTGCGTACCATCCGAGGAGATGGTAACTGTTTGTTCCGTGCAGTAAGATATGCGTTATCGGGGTCAGAGGAAGGACATGGAAGATGCAGGGACAGTATTGTTGCCCACATGCGCAGCTCAAAAACTTCAAAAAAACTAAGTCAGTATTTGGACACAAATGTGGAGCATTACTTGGAAGAAAGTAATATGGATTCAAACTCTGTGTGGGCAACAGATGCTGAAATTTTGGGTGCAGCTTCTCTCCTTAACACTGACATATGTGTTTTTTCGAAAAGTGGAACAGATTGTAGGGGTGTGACCAAATATAACTGGCTTAGATATCCAGCTTCACTGTCTCTGGACATCAAATCAAAGTATGCCTTAACAATCTGACAAATGAACATTTCAATGTTGTTTTGAGTTGTTAGAAAGAACACTTGCATATATATATATGTGGCAGAAATATAATTATTTCATTATTTCCCAAAAAGTAGTCAGAATGATGCACATATGCTTATTAAATATGGCTTTCCTTAAAAGGTATAGTTCCAATAGGTCCAATCAGACCCTTATTTATTTGAATAATGTCCAAATAAGTCTTCAACTCTGAACATCTTTTTTTTATTTTTTAATTACCACTGCCAGCTTTTATGACCTGAAGTTTCATCTATATCAAGTTGTAGTATAGCTATTTAACATAGTGTTAAATTATTTTATTGTATATAAACACTTTGTTAATGTCCATGTTAATAGTACGAAAAGAAATGTTATTTATTGAATTTTTGTAATTTATAACCATAACTATTTTTGTAACGCTTTAATTTTTATGCATGAAGAACAGAAGTAGAGCCTGTTAGACCTCATTACACATGTTTGATCTAGCTATCTTATCATTTATATTTATTGCTCTATTGTACATGAAATGCTAACATATGTAATATATATTGGTGTCAACTGATCAGTGGTATGGAATGGTGTTATTTAAGGACATGTTGGAATATATACATACTGAACTGTATAGAAGATGGATAAGATTTTTAGTAGGCATGTAGATATTATAGATATCTCTGTTAATTATATCCTGTTGTTGTATTATTATTATTTATAAGAAATATGTAGGAGTAACTCAAGGAAGGTCATTCAAATCCATACAGTTCTGATTGTCAAATGCATGAGAAAGACTATGTAAAATACCCACGCATCTATTATTCTGCATACGGAAAAAATCAACAATTATATAGACAGGTCAATAGTATTGAATGTGAAAATATTGTAAAATGAGCAACGTATTTATACAATCAATCAGAATTTCTTTGTTTATTTGAATATGAGTTAGTGTCTTTATACTTTCGATTAGAAACATATTATATTGCATTCATTAAAGATTCATAAAAAACAAATATATGTATTTGAGTTTGTTTTGAGTCATATGGGAGATAATTTATTCAAAACATGGTTGAAATTCAAAGTGATTATTTCATTCTTAAAACTTATTTTTCATTGTTCAGTAATTCATGGATGCACAAATAAATTAATCAATTGATTCCAAAAATGCATTGGTAAATTATCTCCCTGTGGTCTTTTAAGATTGCAAAAAAGAAATCACATGTAGCAGATCATTATATCACTTGGCAAATAAGAGCCATCTAGTCCATAATACACTTCTCAAATGATAACATACTTGTAAAGATGACTTTGAACAAACTGAATTTGAAGATTCAAGTGTATATTACATTAAGTGAATCAACCAAAAGGAAACACAAAATGATCCAAAATGACCTATACTCAACAATTGTTCGTATACTATACTCAACAATTGTTCCTATACTATACTCAATAATTGTTCCTATACTCATCAATTGTTGAGTAACACATTTCTAGGAAGAATAACCCCCAGCAAGCCAATAGTTTTCCCTCTATTGACAAATGTATACAGAGGAGAGATTCAAAATCAGCCATTAGTTTCCCCCTGGTTACTAATACAGAGAGGGGGGAAAGAATCAGATAGCGAATAGTTTCCCCCTGGTTACTAATACAGAGAGGGGGGAAAGAATAAGCTAGCCAATAGTTTCCCCCTAAGTTACTAATACAGAGAGGGGGGAAAAAATCAGCTAGCCAATAGTTTCCCCCTAAGTTACTAATACAGAGAGGGGGGGAAGAATCAGCTAGCCAATAGTTTCCCCCCAAGTTACTAATACAGAGAGGGGGGAAAGAATCAGCTAGCCAATAGTTTCCCCCTTAGTCACTAATAGAGATGGGGAAAGAATCATCTAGCCAATAGTTTCCCCCCTAGTTACTAATAGAGAGGGGGAAAGACTCAGCTAGCCAATAGTTTCCCCCCTAGTTACTAATACAGAGAGGGGGGAAAGAATCAGCTAGACAATAGTTTCCCCCTTAGTCACTAATACAGAGAGGGGGAAAAGAATCAGCTAGCCAAAAGTTCCCCCCCCCTAATTGCTTATACAGAGAGGGGGGGATAGAATCAGCGAGCTAATAGTTTCCTCCCTAATTGCTTAAACAGATAGGGGGGATAGAATCAGCTAGCCAATAGTTTCCTCCCTAATTGCTTATACAGAGAGGGGGGAAAGAATCAGATAGCCAATAGTTTCCCCCTTAGTTACTCATACAGAGATGGGGAAAGAATTAACTAGCCAATAGTTTACCCCTAAGTTACTAATACAGAGAGGGGGGAAAGAATCAGCTAGCCAATAGTTTCCCCCTTAGTTACTCAGACAGAGATGGGGAAAGAATTAACTAGCCAATAGTTTCCCCCTAAGTTACTAATACAGAGAGGGGGAAAAGAATCAGCTAGCCAATAATTTCCCCCTAGTTACTAATACAGAGAGGGGGGAAAGAATCAGCTAGACAATAGTTCCCCTCTTAGTTACTAATACAGAGAGGGGGAAAAGAATCAGCTAGCCAATAGTTCCCCCTAGTTACTAATACAGAGAGGGAGGAAAGAATCAGCAAGCTTATAGTTTCCCCCTGAGTTACTAATAGAGAGGGGGAAAGAATCAGCTAGCCAATAATTTCCCCCTAGTTACTAATACAGAGAGAGGGGAAAGAATCAGATAGCCAATAGTTTCCCCCTAGCTACTAATACAGAGAGGGGGGGAAAGAATCAGCTAGCTTATAGTTTCCCCCTTAGTTACGAACAGAGAGGGGGGAAGAATCAGCTAGCTAATAGTTCCCCTCTTAGTTACTAATACAGTGAGGGGGGGAAAGAATCAGCTAGCCAATGGTTTCCCCCTAGTTACTAATACAGAGAGGGAGGAAAGAATCAGCAAGCTTATAGTTTCCCCCTGAGTTACTAATAGAGAGGGGGAAAGAATCAGCTAGCCAATAATTTCCCCCCTAGTTACTAATACAGAGACGGGGGAAAGAATCAGCTAGCCAATAGTTTCCCCCTTAGTTACTTATACAGAGAGGGAGGAAAGAATCAGCTAGCCAATAGTTTCCCCCTTAGTTACTAATACAGAGAGGGGGGAAAAATCAGCTAGCCAATAGTTTCCCCCTTAGTTACTTATACAGAGAGGGGGGGGAGAATCAGCTAGCCAATAGTTTCCCCCCTAATTGCTTATACAGAAAGGGGGTAAATAGTTCCCTCCCCCATCCACCCACAAATCAATGCCAAGGGGGTAGAGAACCAACCAGCCAGTAGTTCCCCCTCCTTAAAAAAATCAATATCAGGAGGAAAATCTGCATGCTAGTAGTTTGCTCCTTCCATAAAATTAATATAAAAAAAAGAGAGACGGAAAAAAATAAGCTAGTTATTTTCACTGGAAGGGAAAAATTGGCTAGTTATTTTCCCCCGGGGGGAAATAATCAGCTTGCTAGTTTCTTTCCCCGGGGAAAGAATCCACTAGCTGATTTCTTCCCCCGGGGAAAGAATCCACTGGCTGATTTCTTCCCCCGGGGAAAGAAAAAACTATCTTGTGGGGGAAAGAATCAGCTAGCTGATTCTTTCACCCACAAGATAGTTTTTTCTTTCCCCGGGGGAAGAAATCAGTTAGTGGATTCTTTCCCCGGGGAAGGTATCAGCGAGCTGATTCTTTCCCCGGGGGAGGGATCAGCTAGCTGATTCTTTCCCCGGGGAAGGTATCAGCAGGGGGGAAAGAAATGGCTGTTACACCGGTATAGTAAGAGTTTTGCCTGGAGTAAGTGCTTCTCTGAAACACAGACTCATTTTGAAATATTGAAATACACGACGCTGTCGCCATGTTTAGTAAAAGCAGGAATACATAAACGCTAACAAATACACTGGGGCAGACAACACAAAACCATTTTCCCCGGTCTAGCAGTAAACCAGGCTTCGAACTCTGTAAAAAATTAAACTTTGAACAGAGTAGCCTTAAAATCTTTGGAATTCCCTTCATCCTTTCATACTCTTGAAGGTAAAGGGTAGCACTGCATCAATATTAACTACAAAGAAGAGTTCCACTCAGGAGCTTTTTTTTGTACTTTGAGTGATTTGTTCTCTTTATAGAGAGGATGGAGCAACCGAAAGGAGTTTTTACAGCTAAGAGTAACTTCCCCTGGTCACCCCTGAAGACACATTTGAACTCTTCCAATTCAAAGGTTGGAATAGTTCATTATGAAGCGTTAGGGTTGAATGAGTTAATTTGATGATATGCTTATAAAATTCCTGAGTGACAATATTCGTAAAGTATAGGTTTTGTAATGTAAAGGTTCACAGTTCATGCCCTGCAACTTTTTCATTTACTTAACATGTTAATTTAATTAAATATTTCTTCTGAAAAGGTTTTAATTTCCGTGTCCCACTGTACTGTGAGAATTTCCTATATGTAGTAGTAACCTCCCCTTAACTTCTGTTTGGGTAACTGTAGGACAACTGGACCAGGACGCTTAAGCAATATATAGTGTAGCAGTGTAAAGTTAGGGGTTCAAATCCTGGTCTAGCCCTGTACGTCCTCGATATCCAGGGGTTACGCTCACGTTCGCTCTCTGCACCCCTGGAATATGTCATAGCAAAATTGAAGGCTTAGTTAGTACATGTAGCACCTGGTGGATGAGACAAATAGTGATGTACATTACAAGAATCTTGCGTTCGTGTAACAGTAAAACTTACTGGCTTTGAAGTCGGGCATCACTCTGCTGTAATCTTCAAAGGACAAGTATCAGCCCAGCCATTAGTCAGGTTTATTTACCTGACACCAATCAAATAGCGAGCAGCGTGCCTTCAATTTTGCTTTGACATATTCCAGGGGGATGAGCCCTGTGGTGCTTTTTACACTCAGATAACTGCATGTTGTTGGTTTTTATTTTGTTTAATTCATTTTTAGATTATTTCTCACAAATGTCCTGCAAGGTATGGTTTTCTTTTCAGGAATGATTTATTAAAGGTAAAGTAATGCTAGAAAAAAACAGTTTCCAATTCTTAACTCATCGACCCCTAAAGTCACATTTGCACCTTACCAATCAATGACTGGGTAAGTCTAGTTCAGATGTGTAGGGGTGAATGAGTTAAATACAGGTTTATGGCAGTCGTCTTGGGATCCTTAAGCAAATATTTTACATCAGCGACAATGGTAATAATATAGTTTAACTTACACTAAAGGAAAATAAAAATAGAAGTCCTGAAACAATTTTATCGAATAAATTTATTCTATATACCATCAGTAATGTGTAAACATTGAGTATTAAAATCATGAATATCATATACTTTTAAATGATTATCAATAAATTCTTTAAAATGATGTAATCGACATAATCCATGATGCAATTTTCTACAAAATATCAAATCTTTTGTTCTATCTTTACCATTGTATAATACACGAATAAAAGCCTGAACTGGAAATCTACTAGCTCTTTTTGTATAAAGTTCAAACACAACCCTTGAGGCATAAGGAGGCCATTTCCCATCCAAATGAAGCCCTAAAAGAGTAATTAATGGTGATAACGATATATCATGCCCTGAATATAATACAAATTTACGATTATCTTTCAAAAGCACATTATCTTTCATTCGCATTAAAATTTCTGTCAATAACGGATGTAACGCTAAATGAGCAAATTTCAAGTATAGTTCACTTCTTGATTTAAATTTCACACCATCTGAATCTACGATATTCCACATTTTGTTGATTATATTTTTATCAATACACTCGTTTCTTTCATTGCAAGGCAGTGACACCTGATGGCAAATGTGTGCCATCGCAATATCCACGACAGCTTCAAGCCACGGCACCTGACCAGGTTGAATTTTATAAATGTCTGCTATTTGCTGTTTTAAATTTTGATGTTCAGAATCGTTTCGATTATGACTTCCTGCCAAACCGTTAGCCTTTAGTTTAAAAAACTGGGCTAAGGGACATCGACAAGTAAGCTTGGTGACTTCAGAGGAACAGAACAGCACATCCGGTGACAGATGCATTTGGATTTTCTGCAAATCAAAATCAGGTAGGAATCCGTACAATAGTGCAACCGCACTCTGGAAAGTTCTGGAATATTCTGTACTCTTGATGTGTATATCATTATAGGAAAAATTACCTTTAAACAAATTCGTAAAATATTTTTCCTGAAGAAATTGTCCTATTTTCAAATGCTGAAGGGCCCCTAAAGGGGTCAGTTGAGCTCCGTCACAAAAATCTTTTTTCGGATATAGTTCCCAGTTTCTAAAATCACTTTTTGGATGGAAGTTTGTTTCAGTTTTCTGTAATTTATTCAGATAGCTAGTGAGTATTCGGTCTTTCATCAGGAATCTGGAGTCAAACTTGCATGACAGTTTGCTGTTTGGATGATTAATGATGCTGTGTATTGGGGATCGGTCACCATGACGAATAATCACGTGAACAGATTTCAACTGGAATTCGTCTCCCACGTTTCCTGGAGAAAAAAAGAACACAGAAAAGGATTAGTTATGAAATTGAAAGTACATAAAAGTATCTAGCTAAACAGGGTATACCAATATGCACAGTATTGGTAAGTTACCTCCACTAGCTCTGTTCGATTGTTGATGAGAAAAATATATACGGTACAGTGTATTTGAAAACAGTTACTTCCCTTAGCTCTGAGATCGTTAAGGAGAGTATGTACAGTATTTGTAACAGTTACCTCCCCTTACTCTGTAAGAATGTTGTTGAGAAGAGTATGTACAGTATTTGAAGCAGTTACCTCCCTTAGCTAAGGTTGAGGTTAAGGGCGACAATACCAAGGTAAAGGTCTATGGAATGAAAAGTTAAAGAAAATAAATCTGTATGTATCAATTAACTGTAGAAACTAGACTGAATGTTTTCTGGTTTGCTTCAACTTTTTTTAAATGACAATATTTACAAATGTGTCTATAATCACATTTACTGCTGAGGTTATCCCAGGTCAAAGTTGTTAAAAGCATTATTAGCGTAACTCATTCACACCTGAAATTTCATAATGAACTATTCCAACCTTTGAATTGGAAGAGTTCAAATGTGTTTTCAGGGGTGAATGAGTTAATGGTTCATTAACACAAAATTACAAAATTGAATTAAAATTGATTATTGTTTTAAACTTTCCTATGAAATATTTTCATTTTTCTCGCCGTAGCATGATTACATTAATCAGGTCCTCGTTGAGCCATTGTGACGTTACGTCACGTGAAATTTGGTGTAGGATAGAAATTCTGTACATCTCTTTCTTACCCTGAACAGCTCTATGTTACTCACATGGAAATGACAGAATATCGTTTTCTTTTTCATTGGTAGAAAAATAGTAACATCTTGTTTTGACGGTTTTATACAGGCTATGACTCTAGCTGTATCAAGCTTAAGGTTGTGTGCAATAAATTACCCATACAGGTTCAGAAAAAGAATAGACCTGCTTTGTAAATCTGGGACCCCTATTTAGTTTTGGGGCTTGCTTCAAATTCTATGTCTATTGCTCAAGGGATATTGAAAAACCAAAATTCACAGCTGACGACACCACTTGGGACATATTTCGTTTCTTTTTTCTCTTCCATACATTTTCTTTTTAATTGTTTCTCCTTAGGCACACCACGTCTTCAAATCACCTTAACTGATGCAAGTACATGTACGTTAAATTCCAAACAAATAAACTGTGCAATTATTTTTTTCCATAGGGATCATATATTATGACTGCTTCAGATTGTACCTGATCGTAACCTTTGGCTAGTGAAGATGAGAATGGCTATGTTTCAAGAAAAATTTGCAACAAATTCTTGCATGACCGTCACAGTAGTCAAGTTTTTAAAATCATTCATTTCTGACATTAATATATTTCATACCAATCTAATTAAAATTATATCTTCACATCGCTTTACATCTCCACTTTTTCGTCTGGTCCAGTGATAGTTTGAATATTGCAAAGCCTGTCATTGGTTAATTGTAGTTTCAGGTTGTTAAACTTTTTAACGACAACATCACCAGAAGAGGAAGTCTCTCTTATTTCAAAGCAAAATCCACAAATTGTACAAACGTTGTCTTGTAGATAGACACGGCGTGGTGTCATGGGCGCCGCCATTTTCGATGCTCATTTGACACCTCTCGGTCTTTTATCATAGCAAGTGTGTTCCGAAATCATTACATCATCACTTACAGAAATGCGTAAGCTCTCATCTGATTGGTTNATTTCATACCTTCCTCGCTTGCCCTCAGGTCACTAGAAGGAGGGTTACAATATTCCTTTAGTCTGCCCTCCACAGCCACATATCCACCCCTCAGGACCGGTGGGGCCTGCACTTTCCTGTTTCGCGGGATCCCAGTCGGTGTGAACTGAATCGCCTGGTTTCTGGAGGCTGGTGGGTGTAGTGGTGTCCCTCCCCTTGAGTCATTTTCGAGTGGTGATGACTGAACGTCCTCCCCTCGGTAAAGTAGATGAGGGGTCAGGCGTGTCTTTTGAGTCGGAGGAAGGTCATTCAAATACACATCTGAAAAATAGTTTACTTTCAATTACAAAATTTTCTAAATACAACTCAGTGAAACCTAGTGGTGTTTGGATTAATTGACTTTGTCGTCTATTGGTCAATTAAGCCATTAAACTGATAAATTGACTACAGAGTTCATGATTCAGTTTAGTCGGAATAATTGTGTGTTGATATGATGGAGGTATCAGTGGAGTAAATCATGATTTCAAGCCTATATCCTTGCTACATACTAACAAGAGTTAAGCAGCAGAATTTTCTTGGGCCCATATTCATGAAACCATTCTCACGATCAAAATCTGATCCTGTGCTCAAGCCCAAATTTTTGTTCTGGTGATTAATTGATAAAATTTCACATTTTGTCATTGATTTGGAAGAACTTTAAATAATTTAGAGCCATATATCATTTTCTTTGTTTACACTTGACTTCTTCTTGAATTTAAAGGTAGTTAGTTTGAGCATAGACTCCAGACTTCTGCACGAGAATGGTTTCTTGAATACGGGCCCTGGTATTTATTTCCAGCAGCTGTATATATTGGCATCAGGACTGATCATGTTAGGACTATTAACTCATTCACCCCTTAAATTCCATAATGAACTTTTCCAACCTTTGAATTGGAAGAGTCCAAATTTAAATGTGTCTTCAGGGGTGAATGAGTTGATTACAGATTCAGAAATACATTATATTAGTTTTTGTTTGGGTAAGTAATTAACTCACAGCAGTTTGGAGTTCACAATATATATATATGCCTTAAAAAAGATTATTAATCAAGCATCGACTAGTCAAAATTAATCAATGATCGATCGCAAAATTTCAACCTCTTCCCAACGCTAGTATACGTAAAACCTGTGTTATCTGACACCCTGTCATGTGAGATCCTGCTACAATCTGTAACTGCTTGTCAGAATACAGAGGTCTTCTTCAATAGTTTAAATATAACTGCAGTTTTCACACTTTTTCAGCTACACATTATAAAGTATGTACATTTACACATACAATGCATATATATACAGGACATTTTCTAAGATTCCACACACCGGCCTAGGGACCTTAGACCACTTAAGATAGAACTCATTCTCAAACTATTTTTTCCCCATAATCCTTATATTATACCAAAACACATGTTGTAAGAAACACTCAGCTTCTCATGATCAAAAGGCACAAACAAACAAAATTCGGCAACTGTACATACAATTTTGTATTATGGGTACTGTAGATGATAGCGGATACAAGATATATATCGATCCTAGGAAAGTAACAAGAGTATTGGAGAGTTGCAAGCTATATAGTGCGTATATACCCATACTTGTACCGATAGGGAACTAATAATTTAAACGATTACTCTGCGGGAACCACATGTAATTATACGTTTTAAGTACTTGATTAGGCCCTGTCCTTATATGACTCTGACTGTTGCGAGGACGCAAACACACAAAAAGTCCCTGAAGCAGGACTGTAACAAATTACACTTCAAACTAATGAATTATTAAGCTACAGTTTACTGGGATATTGATCATGATCATGAGCCCTTAGAAAGTAATTAACTCATACACTCCGCTGAATTGTCGAAACAGGAGGCCCATTAAGGCCCTGAATCGCATTTTTGAGAGTGAGGTCGATATATGTGCAGTTTTTTTAGGAGAACACCCAAGAAAGTTAGCAACTTTTTTACAGGATTGTTATTATCTTCATCAATTAAGGATGTTATCATGATAATTTGATGATCGTTACTGCTGAAGCATTTTCCAATTTGTTTCGAAAATGGAAAACAAATCTAAATGAATAAAAGTGTCTCCTTAAAAAATGGAAAAGGACAATCATCACGCCGTTGAAATAGATCTAAGGAAAGTTTTCTAGTAAGGTTTCAATTTTTCATGCCCTCCAGAAACAGCAAGTTAAACTTACAGCATGTGATTCTGAAATGTAATTTTGTTGCAATAGATATATTTGCAACAGTGGCATAAAATCAATCTAAATTATTATTCATAATGACTCCGGAAGCCGATTTATGACATATGCATTTTAGCTTCTTGAAATTGCAACATATTATTAAAACTCATATATGTATACATGGTATATACATAGGGTGCATTTGGTACATATTTAAGATTTCTTAATAAATTAATGTATGCCACTTCTGTTTGATCAGTTGTCACCCTTTCACCACTGTAGACCATAATGGACTCATCCATATCAATGCATGCATAGTAGAGTCTACTAAAATTACATAGGGGTGAAAGGGTTAAAGCTATGAGCTGCAATTTGAAAACAACTTCAGTGAGTTTGACACATAGCCTGCCCCCATACTTACATTAGCCTTGGACATGTACTTGGCATTGAACATGTAACTACATACTCTTAGCATGATGAAAGCAGGTATATTGATGATAGCCCAAAACACAATCTCATAGTCATACCTTGATCAAGATGATTTAGAGCAATAAACAGGATTCTAGATAGGAACTTCAATAGATCTATCCAGAACCAATTCAATTGTTATATATAGATTTTGTAGATTAAGTTTGATCCGTACCTTTTTAATTTATATAATTATGAATGTCTATTTTAATGTTGTTTGGCCCTAAATGACTTGAAATGTCCATGAAATAATGATAACAATCTTCAACTGTCACAAACCAAGATGGCCACCTTGCTGCCATCTTGTTTTTCTAATCAATCTCAAAGTCTAATACAGGCACAGCTTGATTAAGACCAAGAGGAAACTACATGCACAAGATGAAAGGCAATTTGAACAGCCCATTATTTGGTGTTGGTAGGATAAGAATGTCACTTTTATATAGTGTTACTACATTAATGTTGCTATTTTATTCACTAGTCTCAGCAACCTTTTCAGCGTCACCAAATTATTGTCTTCCCTATTACCGGTGTACAATGTACGACACAAACCCAAATGACAAATTGTCCCCACCAGCTACACAAACATTTGTGTACATATTTATGAAATCACTCCAACAAAAGCTATGATTTATTCATAGAAAAACATCACCAACAATTAGCAGTTGTCTGCAGTTAGGACTCACTACCATGGAAAGGAAAACTCCCATATTATTTATAATCAATGGTTGACAGACAAGTTCTAGAAATATCAGGCTTGCGGCACCACTTACAAGTTTCCCCATTTGTGCCTTTATAAGCTTCCTCGTGAACGAGATGTGTCCCCTCGGGTTCATCATGATTTATTTCAAATCAAGCTCATCAATCTGGGTTGGCTCACATATGTGTTGTTTGTGTTTCACACAGGGAATTTACATAACTATAAATTAATGTACAAAATGTATGTATGCACTGGTATGGTATGTACATGTACTCAACTCTGGGAAGATGTTCTGCTTAGACAGCTTACACTACATATGTAAACATGCATATTGCATTTTATCATCATCAGATGTTCAAAAGTTTCCTCATTTAGACGGCATCTGTCTGAGCGGAATATCTTCCCGGCTAAACTGAATAGTCTTTCGAGTGAAGCTGAAGATGATCGGATAGTCTCAAATACTTGATAGCAAGTTTTAACAGAACAGGGTATTGGACAGTTTGTTTGCCAAGGTGGCAAAGGGTCATCCTCCATGTCAATATATATATACAAATATGTATTGTATACTAATGGGCCAATGGCCCAAAGTTTGAATAAAACTTGAAAAACAATACAAAGGTTTTCGAGATATTTCTCTACTTCCTTTGGTGCCAACCCAGATTGGTGTCTTTTCCTTGGGGTTACTGGCAGAAAACTGAAGAAATCCATCTTGCCTTGAAATACCCTGTTGTGTGTTTGGGAATTAAAAAATGGCTCAAATGTGGTTGTTCAAGTTTTCAAGTGAAGGTGCAATTCAGTGTTAGTATACTGTTCACTATAAGTTCACCCTTACACAGATAGAATGTTCTGGATGGTCTACCCTGTTGTAATACAAGTACTCATTGTGGAAGAGTTGGAAAAGATCGTCATATTGGTAAAAAAAACATGTAACGATGTCAGTTTAGTAGATTATTTGATTGTCTCATCAGAATTATTTAATATTATTGAAGATTTTGAAGTGAAAGAATTTGATCCACTGCTCTCTGATGTACATTGTCGCTTAGAATTTAATTGCACTTGTAATGATAGCTACTCCCCTAAATAACCCCCTAAAGTGACCATGGAATGCAACGATTTTGTAAAATGGAAGCCAAACAAAAGGCAAGAATTTTCAAACCATATTGAAGGAAATGAAACTGTTAGACTGGCAGTTTTACTGCAAACGATAAATGATATATCAAACCAATCTGAGATGGATGATGTTGTACATGAAATAAGAAATATTTTCTCTGATACTTGTAAATCCGTTTTTGGTGTTAAAAAGAATGTATACACGCCTTGTAATAATGACAAAAACACTAAACAATGGTTTTCACATGAATGTGCCAAGAAAAGACGCGAGTTTAATATCGCTAAGCATAACTATAAAATGATAAAAAATAATTTGAATAGGAAAAGGTTGAAAAGGAAAGGTAAAGAATATCGTATTACTATGAAAAAATGTTATATAAACTTCCAAGATAAAATGGAGGGAGAAATAAGAAAAACCTCAAAAAGTGATCCTAAAAAGTTTTGGGATATCTTGAACAAAATAGATTGTACGAGGAAAAATATCAAAGTAGATAAAAAAATAGATGAAATTTTCAATTATTTTAAAAATCTTAATACTGATAACAGTGATGTGGAAGAATTTCAGTTACCTACATTAGATGAAAATATGTATGACCATGTTTTAAATGGTCCAATAACTGAGACAGAGATAAGGAAATCTGTTAAACATCTTAGTAATAATAAAGCATGTGGAAACGATGAGATCCTGAATGAACATATAAGATATTCTTTAGAGCCTTTTATAAATATCTATGTCAAATTATTTAATACAATATTGGATACTGGTATAATACCTAAGTCATGGACTGTGGGGCTAATTAAACCAATATACAAAAACAAGGGCGACATTAATGACCTTGATAACTATATAGAGCAATAACTTTAGTATCGTGTTTGGGAAAACTTTTTACATCTACACTAAATGATAGATTGAATCAATTATCTGATCCAATAAATCTTATTCATGAAAGCCAAGCTGGCTTTAGGAAAGGTTATTCTACTACAGAAAATATATTTGTAATGCAAACACTAATATCAATGTATTTCTCCTATATAATAAAAAGTTATATTGTTCATTCATTGACTTTAAAAAAGCCTTTGATACAGTGTGGAGGGTTGGACTTTGGGGAAAAATGCTGAGAAGCAATATTAATGGCAAAATACTAAATGTAATCTATAACTTATATACTGATACTAATTATAAGTCATGTGTAAAAAATGGAAACGAGCAGACTCAGTTCTTCACGAGCAATATCGGTTTAAAACAAGGGGAAAATTTATCGCCATTTTTATTTTCGATCTACTTGAATGATCTAGAGGAGTTCCTGTCTAATAATGAGGTGAAATGTCTCAAAGATATTGATAATCTTAGTCAAAATTGTATTGGAATGTACCTAAAATTGTTTATTTTGTTATATGCGGATGACACTGTTGTACTGGCAGAATCGCCCGAGGGTCTACAGAAAGCTTTAGATGTCTTCGGCGATTATTGTAAAATATGGAAATTACATGTTAATACAAATAAATCTAAAATAGTTGTCTTTTCAAAACGAAAATCGAAAATCAATAGTACATTTATGCTTTGCGGAGAGGAAATTGAAATTGTAGATTCTTATCCGTACCTTGGGTTATTGTTTAACTATACTGGAAACTTTGGTAAGGCGAAAAAGAAACTAGCTGAACAAGCCCAGAAAGCATTATTTGCTTTATATAGGAAAATCAGAAATATCAATTTACCAGTAGACCTACAGTTTGAACTTTTTGATACATTAATATTGCCTATACTGTTATACGCGTCAGAGATATGGGGATTCGAAAATATTACCCTCTTGGAAACGATACATTTGAAATTTATAAAAAAAGTTCTCAATTTAAGGAAATCTACGCCTAATTATATGGTATATGGAGAATCGGGACGTTTTCCTTTAGAAAATACTATTAAAAATAGAATGATTTTATTTTGGCACAAACTAATAACAGAAAATGGTAAAGTATCGAGTCAGTTATATAATATTATACATGCAATGCACGAAACGGGCGCATTTCACTCGAAGTGGCTAAATTTTATCAAAACTACACTAAATGATCTAGGGTTGACATATATCTGGACATCTCAAAAAGTGACTACTCTAGAACGACAAAAACTTAAACATATTATAACACAAACGCTTAATGACCAGTTTATTCAAAAGTGGTATGCCGATATCGAAAAAAGTAGTAGAGGACAAAATTATCTATTATTTAAATCTAATTTTGGTTTTGAAAATTACTTAACTCAATTAAACAAGAGGGATCGTGTTGTGTTTTGCAAATTTCGCTCGTCAAACTTTCCGCTGCCCCTGGAAACTGGCCGTTGGATGGGAATTCCTCGAGAGGAAAGAGAATGTACTTTTTGTAATAGAAATGAAACAGGAGATGAATTTCATTATTTGTTTAAATGTCAACAAGAATCCATACGCCAGATTAGGGAAAAATTTATTCCAAAATATTATTACACCAATCCAAATGTTGATAAAATGAAAGGAATGTTCACAATATGTAACAAACAATTAATCAAAAGGGTTAGTACATTTCTTGTAAAACTGCAAATAATTATAAAAAAATAACAATTGAAATAAATCAGTATGTCAAAAATACTATACTTTGCATTATGATTATGGCAGTGAAGATAATTTGCTGTGAAAATTGAGTATCCAATACATATATGACTAATGCTGATAAATCTGGTCATATATATTCTTCTGTGTCACATGCATGAACTAATGCGGAATCTGTTCATGTGTAATCTACTCTCACTCGTGTGAACTAATGCTGAATCTGTTCACATGTAATCTACATGTGTGAAATAATGCTAAATCTGTCCTTGTATAATACTACTGTTTCACATGTATGAAATGAGGATGTGTAATCTTACTGTTTCACATGTATGAAATAATTATGTGTAAACTTACTGTTTCACATGTAAGAAAATAATGTTGAATCTGTCAAGTATAACCTTACTGTTACTTTGTAACAATACATCTGATACATATGTACATCAAACAATGTGAAATATTGCTGAATCTATCTATGAAATATTGCTGAATCTATCTATGAAATATTGCTGAATCTATGAAATAATGCTGAATCTATCTATGAAATATTGCTGAATCTATCTATGAAATATTGCTGAATCTATCTATGAAATATTGCTGAATCTGTCTATGAAATAATGCTGAATCTATCGATGAAATATTGCTGAATCTGTCCATGTGTAATCTACTCTCTCTGTCATGTTTTATTTTGATTGATGTTATTTTGTTTGACCTCTTGTTACACACTTTGTGTGTCAGAGCGTAATAAAAAATCTTGAAAATCTTGTGTGGCATTCTTTTGTTATTAAAATCACAAGTTACCACTTATCTCTGGGAAGGAGGACAATAGCTAAGCCAGGAATAGGGGATTAGGATCATTACTGGTATAACCTCTTATTACCTGTGTCCTTACATAATGAAGATTTACTTTGGAAACTTTCTATTTGATTAAAATGTATAAAGGTACACACACTTCAACATTCAACATTAAAGTAATTAAAATTAATTGGGCATTACATACATTTTTCAATGTAATTAATTAAATTACCCTTACATGTAATTAAAAAAATCCTCAATTACACATTACATCTAATTCCTTAACAAAATGTAATTAATTGCAATTAATTACCATTAGACATTACCCCATGCCTGAATTTGATACATCGTTGCAGCCCTATACTCTGCATGCATAGAGCAATTGTTATATAGATGGATATAGTATAGGGTTGGGATCTCAATTGTTTCCATGTTATAATTATTATCCAGCTTTTGGTAGGTCCTGAGGATATGCATTTATAAAAAAGCGAACTCTAGACTAAGTATTCTTAGAATTTTAAAAACTGCAGTTGATAGGAATACATTAAAAACATTATATGTCTCATATATAAGACCTGTGCTAGAATATTCTGATATAGTATGGGATAATTGTACCAATTCTGAATCAGATATTTTAGAATTAGTTCAACTAGAAGCTATGCGTTTAATTACTGCAGGCCTCAGACGAGGTACATCTCATCACATTCTGTATACTGAAACACAACTTAAAACATTACACTGTGTGACACGAAGACAAAATCATAAACAAACATTAATGTATAAGGTTCTTAATAATTACACTCCAACTTATCTCAATAATATCATTCAACCATTTCTAAATGTAAATAATAACTATACCTTCAGAAATAACAGATTCTTTAATATACCACAGACAAGAACTACTACTTATATGAATAGCTTCTTCCCTTCTACAATGGTAAAATGGAATGCACTTGATAGCACTGTACGAGACTCCATCTCAATTTCATCTTTTAAAAAGAAACTTAAAAAAAACTTTGATACATCTGTCTCAGAAACTTTTATTAACTGTTCCGAGGAAACTTAACATCATTTTATGTCAGCTAAGAAATTTCAAAAGTGATCTTAACTTTGCTAAGTTACAACACCATCTGATTGATGATGCTTCCTGTGTATGTGGTGTACAGAGGGAATTAAATAAAACTATTCTTATAAATGTTGACTCTTACATTAAATCATCAAAACGTTTCATTGCTTATACGTGCTAGACAAATGAATATTCATGTATTGTTATTATTATTATTCAGGCAAGTTTTGTCCCTTAAATAACGAGTATTATAGACATAAGCTGGTGTGGGTGTGCATGTGTGTGAGAGGAAAACGAATTACAACATTTTATATATTTAAGCATTGTACATAGCTACCGGAAATAGAAGAAGACTGATATAGGCAAAGCCTGTTGTCTTATTTTTTTGTCAATACTGTTATAATATCTTCTTTAATGTTAACTTATATGTTTGTATTATACATGTATTGTTAATAAAATACTTTTGAAATTGAAATATGCAGGGTCACATTTGCATTTGTAATTCAAGGATATTTTTGTTGTTGTCCCATTTTGTTCTTTACAATCGTCCATTTTTATATAAAAAAAAAATCTTTTAATAACACCCTGTCCTGAATAACACTACGATCCTCCTATCCCGAGAGATCATTGTTCATAGCAGCGACACGTCGCTATGACGCTACCTCCAAATGTAATCAAATTTGTTAACTTCTCAGTTTCCGAATTATCTTAGATATTATTACTTACAGAAATACCAACACAGAAGGACACATCCTGCAGTCCCTCCATAGAAAACTGTCCGCACAGGTCTCATCTCCACTGTCCCTAATCAAAGCAGACCAACTCAAGCAGAAAACAAGAATTCGAAAAAAACAGTCCAGTCCCTTAGGCCATTCTGTGTTGATATTTACGGGGTCGCTTACGACCATCCGGAAATTGTAGCTGCGCGTATGAATTGTACAGGAAAATAATGAGGGACAGCGAGATTGAAAATATTTTTGCTTTTACTTTTTAATAATTTTCATATTTTTACATTATTCAATTTTCTCTTGAGTTAGTTAATTACATAAATACAATCCTGACCAGATCATTTGGTAAAGTGCCACACCCCTAAAACAAATTTCCAAGTCCCTGTGGTTAGTGCTAGTGAACCATCGTCCGCACGTGTTAACTTTTCATTCAGACATTTCCAATAACAAATATTGGGGCAGTTGGTACACAGGATGGAATACTGCATTAAATTTTCTTAAAACTTAAGTGGCATATTTACATTAAAATGACTAATTTGAATAGCAAAACGATATAGGGTGCTAATTTAGCTACATATATGTTGTACATATATGTAGCATGCTAAAAAGGAGTTCTACAAAGTATCCCCGAATATATAATTGACACTGACCTGCCTTCAAGGTCACAGGGGTCAAATAGATGCATGTTAGTCCAAGGTGATTATATTTGGCCATAAAGGTATCTGGGATAACGTTCCCTCAAATAAATAATTAACCCTGACCTACATTCAAGGTCGCATGGGTCATGATTAAATATACTAAAACATAAAAGCAAATTCTTTTGAATAAAGTCATGCGCCCCATGATGACGATATTTGGTCAGTTGTATAATGTATAATTTGAAGTTCCCACAATTGCATTGCCTTGACCTAGCTATATATACGTTCATTGTCTCAGGTTTGAAATGTGTTTTAAACCTTTAAATGACTTCAAAGTTTGGAAAAAATAATGAACATAAACTACTTTGAAGGCCGCAGAGTTCAAATATTTAAAAGCCTTTAAACATTTTGTTTTAATTTAACAAGATTCATGTTTAGATGAAGTGCTATATAGCTTCAACAAATGAAAGACCTTGACCTGTTTTTTAAAGTCACAAAGGTCAATGAGTTAAAACCTTCAAATAAATTCTTCTGGAGGACCAAGATGACAAATTTAAAGCTAGGTAATGATATTTTGCACAGTGGCGTGTTGGTTAGCAGTATTGCTTTTTTTATGAGAATATCTTGTCCCGATTGCCTAAATATCCAGGTGAGCGACACAGGCCCTCTAGAACTTTTTGTGTAATAAATAAATCAGCCTAATGAAATATTCCGCGATAAACGAACACACTTGGACCTGAACTGTGTCAAGTACCAGGCAGAGCTCAAATTAAATGCACAGTTCGGGGTTTTGTGACAAATAAATGACAATATATCAAGAATAATACGCCTTTCTTTCACGCGTGTAATACATATATTATATAACATTTCTTATAATATATACGTATGAAGCTTAAGGGGTCTTCTTTTATAAGAATTTGTGAGAGAAAATACATAACTCGAAATTCCGGGGTTATGTACCTCCTCGAATTCAAGGGGTTAGGCTCACAAATGTACTTTGCAATCCTGGAATATGTCGTGAAAAATTGAAAGCATGTGGTTAGCTGCTTGATTGGTTCCAGGTAAAAGGTGCAAAAAAGTCACCTGACTAATCGTTAAGCTGATACATGTCATTAAGAGATTAGACTTAGAGGAGCGACACCCGACTGGGCGTCTTGGCAATCAAAAATACAAGGGTCTGACTAGATAACTGAGTTTGTTTAGAGCGATAGTAAATGTATCGCGAATACAGGATTCGAATCCTGGTATGGCCTCGTTCTAATTTTACAACCAGAGCACTATTGTTGATCTTTTAGTTATATATTCTGTGTATTGTATTTTAAAAAAATGGTCTGCGAAATATGGTTTTCTTTCTAGAAATTATTTTCTCAAAGATATAGCCATGCCGGAAAAGACTTCCCAATGCATACGCACAGTTTTTTGCAATGGTACAAGGATCCTTAAGCAATTTGTTTCCAATCGCGGAGGGATTCGTATGGATCTATATATATTGTCCCTGTAGAATAGGTCTATTATGTATTACAATCCAAAATGCGTACACGACCAAAAGAAGATAACTTGTATGTATCAACCGAATTCCGTGCTTTATGTACGCCCCAGGGTAACACAGCTAATAATGCAACGGAGTTGAAATAACTATTGCTAGAGAATGAATTTTCTTGAAAGACTGGTATAAAAGACGTTCTCTCTGCAGTAAAGAAATCCAATTCTAATCCAGTCTTTCCTGATGTAAAAGTTACATACCTTATTATTCCTATAAACTTGGAATTATTCATTAAAAAGATTAGAGGTTCCAAACACTTCTATAATATTCTTATAAAAAACAAGATTGTACCAACAGGACAGAAAAAATGGAATGATATCTTTGATTTAAATAGTTCTACTTGGCGTAAGATATTCAAACTTCCCTTTGCTATAACTAAAAACACAAAACTTCAATGGTTTCAGTATAGAGTGAATCACCATATTCTGACAACAAACTCGTTCTTATTTAAAAATCGTTTAGCTATATCTCAACTCTGTATACTTTGTATTTCTGAGACTGAAACTATTATACATATCATGTGGGAATGCCAAGAGGTTCAAAATCTCCTTCTTATTTTTTCATGTGCAAAAATATTTGCTCTTTAAGGTGGGCTTTTCTCCTCTTGTTTTTTTGTTTTGTTTTTTGTTTTCTCTTCTTATGTGTACTTATGTACTCTCTCTCTCTCTCTCTCTCTCTCTCTCTCTCTCTCTCTGGATGATGATGCTGTACGAATGATGATGATATATTGATGATGATGATGATGATATATGGATGATGATGACAGTATATTGACTTGGATGATGATGATATATGGACGAATATAGTGATGATAAGATGATGATGATGATGATGATGATGTACAGATGATGATGATATATGGATGATGATGATATATGGATGGTGATGATGATATATGGACGAATATAGTGATGATACGATGATAATGATGTACGGATGATGATGATGATATATGGACGAATATAGTGATAAGATGATGTACAGATGATGATGATGCTGCTACTCCTGCTGCTGCTGCTGATGGTGATGATGATATATGGACGACTATAGTGATGATGGAAAGATGATATATGGATGATTGTAGTGATGCTGTTGATGATGAGATGATGATGATGATGATGATGATGATGATGATGATGATGATGATGATGATGATGATGATGATGATGATGATGATATTTCAACATGTGTGAATGTGTGTATGTGTGATGATGTCCTGTGTATTGTACATGTACTGGAAAAAAAATGAAAAAATAAAAAATAGAAAATAAATAAAAATAATTATGCAACGGAGTGACGATTGTGTTTTCAAGCATAAATATTGTACCCGGAAGGCTACCATCTACCTTCTGTGTTACAAACTGCATTATTAACCAATCAAAAATAACTCGGCATTCCGTCTGCTCTGCACCAGTCTAATGACGTGATGGGAAACCTTACTACACGTCGGCAATCCGAATAGGTTTAAACGTCTACGTAAGGCATTGACAGAAACTCGAACAAGAGCAAAGCTACTATGCAAGTTCATATTGAGTTTTTATGGGAGGTGGGCCAAACGTTTATTAAAACATTCTCTTGATGGTGACGGGATGGGGATGAGAAGGTGTTGTGTTAGGAGAGGAGGGCCGCGGAACACATACCATACAATTAAAGAAGGAAGTGACGTATACAAATAAAAACAATGACTAATCATGATCATTGACCACAAGCTACCTAGGTATCACAGTTCCTTGTGACAAGTACAATGCACACATTCGTGAGACTTTCAAAGATGGCCTCCTCCATGAATGCTGAACTACTAGGAGGCAATCGACGAAACCAATGCTAACTAACCCGAACTCTAATTGGTCAGTCCGCACGCGCATGACAAATGCAATATGCTTGCTCCTCCAATGTTCACAAATATATTTTCGCCCATGAATGCTACACTATTTATCTCGGAGGCAGTTAATGAAGCCACTGCAAATAAACAAGAAATCTGCCAGGTCACTCTGCAAACATAGAAGTCATTTGATGTAGTATGACAGTGTGTCTGTTTGGGGTTTGACGTCCTCGTAACAGGACGAGTGCTTAGGGAGACACCACCGGGAAGAGAAAGTAGAAAGACAATAAAGGAGACAGGAAACGAAAAAGATTCCAAGTGTTGCAATGATGGGGGAAGCAGATCAATGTTTGATGTCTTCAATGACACAGAAGACAAGCCCCAATTCTGCGGGGTCCCTACTAGTCGCATTTTACGATACACAGCAAGTGGGCTGCAACAGGTTTCTTCTTGGTTTCACCAATGTAACTTAAACAGGAGACAAAGACAAAAAACGCGCCCCCCCCCCCCCCCCCCCCCCCCCCNGACACTAGTACGACAGTCATGAGGAAGAAACAAGGATATTCTAAGATACAGGGATTATAAGAAAATATGGAATATTTCATCAAAACACTTGGTTTGTTTGTATTGTACGTCCTATTAACAGCTATGGTCATTTAAGGATGTGGCAGGTTTTGCTGGTGGAGAAAAGCAGGAGTTCCCGGAGAAAAACACCGACCTACGGCCAGTACCTGGCGACTGCCCCACGTAGGTCTCAAACCCGCGACCCAGTGGTGAAGGGCTAGTGGTAGCAGAATGGCAGACGCCTTAACCACTTGGCCACCGCGACCCCCATCAACAAACTATAAAATAGAAGTCATTCAAGTATTAAGTGGAATGAGGTGCTTTCTTATCGTTACATATTAACTTTAATAATTACTTCACAATAACTTTTCCAACTTATATTAATCACTCAAGTTGGCTCGGACGAAAACGCCCAGAGGGTCTAAATGTGGTTAGAATCCGAAGTACCGTTACCCGGAAAAATTCCACGTGGACCCCATTCACTTTCGCGGAACTATACGTTGGACTAATGGCTACGACTTTATAATACCATAACATCTTGAAAACAAGCACTGCAAGACAAAGAGAACAACAGTTT